TATATATATATAATATTAAATTTGGGGATTTCAACGGGGATTTTTTGATCTGTTTCGGGTTTCGGTTACAACCAACGGTGAACGGGAAAAAGAGGATTTTTACCTTTACGAATTCCCCAACGGGGATCGGGGAAACCGCAGGACCCGATAAGATCCCCGACGGGGATCAGGGTGGTCATGGGAACGGTTTTAGTTATCGGTTTCTGGGACGGGGATACCAAAAACCGGGCCGAACCTGGCCCGTTGTCATTATTAGTTTTAAACGAGATCGAGCATAGCAGAACAGAGCAAATCGAGATACAACGTCGATGAATGGATGAGGGCTAAGGAATTTGTCAGATTGGAATTTGAAATCCGTGGTATATGCGGTGGAATTGTGAAATCAATGAATTAAGGAATTGGAAGGATTCCTTCACATCTATTATGTGAACCAAACATAGGATTTGGAATTTGGTCAAAGATTTGGACATTCCAATTCCTTCCAATTCCACCAAATTCCATGAACCAAACACCCCCTGAGGGTTATTTAAGATGAACAACATTTTCCAGAAGATTATCATTTGTCGATATCGGGACATCATTATGATCAATCTTTTCTCGTAATTCACCCTATGATCATAAAACTTAAGAACTCCCATACTTCAAAAATTCAAATCCTCATCCTCCAAACCACCCTTAATATAAATATTGGCTCCGCCCTGTCCAAAACTAGTTATACGACCATCGACTAAAATATGTCTATGGCTAGCTTCCAAAATAGTCCGAGCCATACCCAACTGGAAAAAAAGGATGTTAAGCATGCGCCTTTCAAGTTATTGTAGTAAAACCTGACTTGTTTACCCTTTTGTCTTTTCGGCTATAAGCTTAGGGTTTCATAGAAAAACCATTACTCATTGTAGACCATCACATGTCGCATCCTCGACTGAAACAAAGAAAAGAACTTAAAGATAACAGCCAAGAAATTCTTCAGTGGCTCTGAGGAGACTCGAACTAGCGACCTAAAGGGGAGAAGCCCCAAGCTCTAGCCTTTATTTGACAGTTGAGTTGGCCCTCAAGGTTTCATTGTTACTAAACTTATGAAAGATGAAGATGGCATGAATTTCGATGGTCACAGGTTTTGCTCAGAAATTCAGAATCAGGCCTTCAGTTGAGGAACACATTGCAATTTAAAGACCTCTTCAGTCTTCACAAACTAGATGGATCCATTCATTTTAGAAATCTAGGATTCCTTGATCATAAAAACTGGATAAATCAATTAGATTGTGTTTAGTTTGATTTCCAAATACACTAATTAGACCCTATATCAATCTTGGGTATCACGAATTGAGCATCGGGAATAGTCCAATGACCACTCTAATTTTAAAGACTGTAAAATAGAGTTATATATATACTATACCCAGATTCAATATCTTACATATACGAGAGATCGATGGCTACAGGTAGTTTGGCAGTTAGTGTATAATTGCACAGCAGTTACAACCGCTTATGGAGAAGAATGAAACAGATGAGAGGCTGGCTCAGAAGCCTTCACAATCAGCAGCTTCTGATGCGGCAGACTCAAAAGTCTATAATTTGCATAATTTACACGGGGAAAAGAAAATCATACGATATAAAGTTTAAAAGGTCTACTACTAATAAATTGTTCGATATTCATACTAAAAGTGCAAAGAGTGGGCAGAAGAGCATACTCACAATGACCGGTTGAGTCCATCTCTTCAAGCCAACCAAAATCCATAATGATAGGGCGCTCCTGAGAACGACTGGAATACGTCCAAGAGGTGTCATACTCTACAATTGTATCAACAATATAAATTCCATGGCAAAATTCTAGCTTTATTCATCTACAATTGCATCAATAACTATCTAAAAGACATTAAGATGCTATAATCTTGTACGACATATCATCTTTCCATGGCCATATACACTTTTGACCAAAAACTGCAAGAGAAATTATAAGAAACATACAAGGCTACACAAAAAGAACGGAAGACAGAGGGCAGACTACACGTACCAATGTAGAGACTTCTCTTGAGAGGAAACGAGCAAAATAAAGTGCATAGAAACAAGTTAGCAGAAATTGCTCCAAGAACCAACCTCATAATCTTGTGAATATTAGTTCGGACACTAAACTTCAATCTTTTCTACTTCTGGGTTATTAGTATTTCTTCAGGCCATGCATTACACCAAATCCACATGACATTTCTAGTAACTCAACAAGAAATCAGAAAATTAACAGATTCATTTAGTTAACTGTACATTTAAGAAATACAAAAGAAAAATAAGGACATATTCCACAGGAAAAAACAAAAAAAGAAGAGCAGAGTAATGAAGGCTGCAGTTCTATCTAATTTCGCAAGAAATGTAGTATGAACTTTCTTGATCCAAGACAAAGCACTAATCTATCCAGATTGTTTGAAAATCTTCAAGTGACCTATATAAGCAAAAGAGAACAGGAAATGCTCAAGGAAGTTATTTTAACAACTTTCATGAACACCTATAACTCACTGACATTATTAGGAGCCACCTCGAGAGCAGTTTCATCGAAGACATGCATGTTTCTAACAATGTCAAGAATCTGTGTCAGTTCTCTATGAACATAACTGAAACGCTCCTTGGAGATCAATGATTCTGAATATAGAATTGAGGTGAGCGAGTGGAAGGTCTCAGAAAACTCATCACTGCTATCTTGTGTTATATGATCATCAGACAGGACTAGGGAACTATCCAGTCGCCATCGCAGGGGATAATATTTTTCGGGTATTTGAAAGTAGTTCTTGAGTACAAGTACTCGGAGAGAATGCCTGCATAAGATACCCGAGTGTTCATATTCTTTGCAAGAACAATGAACTTGTTCATTATCTGGTATCCAAATCACAAGACACTCTCCTTCTAATTTATTGTAATGTCTCACAAGATATGAGCCGTTAGCCATATCTGTTGTTGCATACTGCATGCACAACACAAGTTCCTGTTGCAGGGCATTAAAGGCATAAGGCGAAAGAATGCTTCGGGCATGTTCTTCAAGAGGCAGACAAGTCTTAATGGGTAAATATGATAGCCTCTCTTTGTTCTGAAAAACAACATTTGCAGCAACACTTACCTACAGAGAAAGGAAAGAAATAGAATAAAAAATGTCAATCTTCTGGACTAATTGAAAGACTATCGAGTTCGGATATGAATGCCTGACTAACCTGTTCAAAAAAATTCTTGAAAGATGAATGTGGACTCAAGATATTCTTCATGAATTTATCCACAGACTTCATGTAGTCGACTGTCATCGTACGTGCAAGAAAGTAACCTCGGATGTATGCAACAGGCCAGGAAGCTCGGTAAGAAAACAGGAGAACCACATGCTTATCTGAACCAATTCCAAAGCGAGCCACAAGGTGGTTCCATTGGTTCTCAAAATCCTCTATGTTCTCAAGATGACACAGCAACTCAAACTCGGATTTGAACTCTGAATACTGCAACCCAAGAGGCAGAGAGAACCAACTGGATAATTTAGACAGCACATGCCATATACATACTACGTGTTTCGTGTTTGGAAGCTCGGTGGCAATAGCATCTCTGAGGCCTGAATCTATATCTGTTACAATTGTCTGTGGGTGATTTCCTCTCAAGAATTGGATGAAAGCCTGTTTCATAATAAGATTGCAATAAGAAGACATATAAGTATAGATATTCAATGATCATTTATAGATTGTCACCAACCTGCAAGGCCCAAGAAAAGGACTGAGAAGTTTCATCTTGAAGCAAAACACACCCCAGCAGAAAAGCCTTGCCCTGATTGTCGATGCCAAACCACACGCCAAGGAGCATATTGTAGGTGATGGACCGATATGTGGTTTCAAAAGTAACCACATCTCCAAAAACTGAAAAAGCACGAATGGAAACCCCATATGCCCATGAAACATTTTCAACTTTACCGTTCTCATCTGTCGTATAGTTATATACAAATCCGTCATCCCTTTGTGCAGTAGTTCTGCAAGACTCAAGAAGTGCCAACATATCAATTTCTCTTTTTTCAGTAAGTAAGGCATCATTTTCTTGAACAGTTTTCTTGCATGTCCTAACAAAATTCCTGACATCCTTCTCTAGGAAGGGTAACTGTCCTGGTTGAACCCCCTTCTCTAACTCCAGAACTTTCACTATGCGATTTACAGGAAACCCCGCTTTCGTGAGTAAAAGAATACGTTCTTGATCAGACTCTTGTATTTTTCTGTAGGCAGGGAGGAGACGTACTTGATCATCTTCCAATAATTCATGATTATGAATGTTACTAAACTGAGAAATGTACCATTGTGTTACACCATCAACAATCTCCTTTGTCAAGTACAATTTCGCATCACATCCACAGCGTACTGATTTCCGGTCCCTCGGGTGCTCCACATTGGCCTTTTTCCTTGGCTGATTAAACCCAGACCGGTAACAAACAAAGTCTCTCCTATAAACCCCAAGATTTTGACTCTCAGTTGAGCGTGCTTTCCTAACAGAAAACCCGTTTTTTCTGGCAAAGTTGCAGTAGTACTCAAAAGCTTCATCGTCACTTTTAAATATCTGACCGACATATGGTGTGAAGATAACATCTGATAATGATGGTGTTGCTCCATCACTCTTTACCAACTCAGAGCCTCCATTTGTCTGATCATCTCCTTCATATTTAATATAGCATTTCCAATCTCCACAAGGGCATTGCTGGCGTCGAATCCAGATGTTGTTTAATGGTTTTGTCGCCATCTCCCACAGCAAAATCACGAAAGCTGCAAAGAATCAGAAAGTGCGTCAGTTTCTTAGCCAAACCAAACAAGTTAATATATTAAAGAAACTTAAAAGATTGAAACTAAACCACCATAAGATAAAAAGAAAGACTTCTAACTAACAGTGATCCTGGTCCTCGATCATGAAGCTGATAGGATTGGTACTTAAATTAGCTCCTATTAACCTCAAACTCATAATGTAAACAAAACTAAGCCACAGAACTAGTAATAAATCATGTCCACTTCATATCAAACTACTAAAAGCTACACAAAACAAAAATAAAAGACATTAAAACGACAGGCCCGGTAACTAAACAAATTGCTAAAAAGAGCCCAACAAGGAAGCAGATATCCTAATTTTGTAAGATTATGAAGATAATTAACAGCAAGTTACTGTGTTAGCCGTCAAGACACATCCAAAAAGAATAAATAATACATCTACATAACCAATACAATTACTTCCAATCAGCAATGTCAAAGTTTTAATAGGTAACATCCACAGTACTACCTCCACTTTTGATGGTAATCAGTTTACTTTTAGACTTGAGAGTTGCAAATGATTTCAACTTTCCATTGAAAATGCTAACTATACTAATTACTGAACTTCGTAAGAAGTACCACAAATAGAATAATACTGATTCTACGTTAGCAACAAAATCCGTATCAATTTACATTTTGAAGAATATTAGGTTTAACATTGATGTTAAGAACTGTAGCTTCTTTTCGAGAATGAAGTAAGTATAAGACGATACATATGTCATCCATGAATAGAAACCCCTTTTAATTCACGAAAATCGACAGATTTCAATTTGTATATAAGATCAATCAGAGCACAATTGAATTGAAGGAGGAGTGAAATAGGGAAAATTGACGTACCAGGAAGAGGAATTTAGGTTTTAGAAATGAGAATCATAATAAAACCTCTCAGAGAAGAAGACAGAGAGCCCCTTTTGTTTGATTTTCAGCATTCTTTCATTTTGAGACGGTGGTGGTTCGTGTTCTCTCTGCAGAATTTCCGTTCTGTTTTTGTACTCACTCCCCTTTATATTGCACTTGCAGTGTATAATTGCAAGAAGTCAATGTTATTCATCGGGATAAATGTATAAAATAATAATCTATTTTTATAATTTTTATTATTATAGTATTATATTTTTAGTTTTTTTATTATTATAATGTATTTTCAAACTATTTTTTATTAGAATATTATATTTGAAAAAATTTATCAATTATAACATTGGGTAACATTTTGATTTAAATTTAACTATTATATCAGGTTTTTATGTCATCTCATTGTCCAGATGTACTATAGTGATATAACTTTTTTATTACAACATTATACTTTCAAAATTATTTTATTATAGCATCTACTAATTCTTATTAAACAATGTATTTTTAATTTTAATATTTATATATTTTACATGTTATTTAATAAAAATAGTAAATGAATTAAAAAATTCTAAATTATTCATTAATATACCGATATTAATAAAAGTAGTAGAAGACAACTTATCTCACTAATATTATGTGGTTTTTTAAAAAAGAAAATAAGAATTGTTCTTTTTTTACCAAAAAAATATATATTTTTTTTAAAATATATTATATTTGTTCAAAAACTTTTATGATAGCTAGTAACTACCATTTGAAAAATCAGATTGTTGGTTACCAACGTTTAACTGGTAAGCAGGGGCGGAACACAATATGGGCCTATAGGGGCCCAGGCCCCTGTGATTTTTCTCCCAAATACCATTGACTAGTTTAGACCAGAGGTTCTAGAAAACAAAAAATTTCAATCGGCCCCCCCACCCTCCAAT